AAACATCTCTGTTTAAACATCAAACATCTCAATTTAAACATCAAACAACTCAGTTTAAACATAAAACATCTTGATTTAAACATCAAACATCTCGATTTAAACATCAAACATCTCAGTTTAAACATCAAACATCTCGATTTAAACATCAAACATCTCAGTTTAAGCACAAGCAAAACAATAAAGGTGGCTCTTTGAGGAAATTTGAACTGGAAGTGGCAGAAATGAAGATTTTGAGGTTCTCCTTAAGAATGAACAAGATTAGAAAGAAGAAAGAAGTTCTCTGTTGTCATTTTTGTATGTTCAATGACAAAATTGGTTCTCTGCATTTAACTCATCAATTCAATTCAATTCAGATTATTTATAAAGTGCCAAGTCACAACAGAAGTTGTCGCAGGGCACTGAACAGAAAAAATATTTTATAAAATAAGTAATTAGAAACATTCATGTATAAAATAATAATTTAACAGAAACATTCATGTATAAAATAATAATTGAACATTATTTATCTGAGGAGCAGCTTTGAGTTTAACTCCATCACTGAACTCTCATCTTGAACAAACATGAAGGCGACAGTGGAAAGAAAAACTCCCTCATGAGGAAGAAACCTTTAGCAGAACCAGGATCAGGACAAGAGGACCATCTGCTTCGACCGGCTGGGTTTGGTAGGAATAGATACACAATGGCAGGACAAGAATCACATGTTAAGATAGAAATAGTATCAAATGAAAACTATTCAGTTTTAACAATTAATTTAAGGAAATGAGGTCAATTTGTCCTCTAGTAGTCTAAGTCTATAGCAGCATAACAACCCTAACTATAGGATTTATCAAGAAGGAAAGTCTTCAAACTGGACAATGTGTCAGCCTCATGGACAGAAACTGGAAGTTGGTTCCACAAGAGAGGAGCCTGAGAACTGGAAGATCTTCCTCCCATTCTGCTGCTGGAAACGCTAGGAACCACAAGTAAACCTGCAGTCTGAGAGCGAAGTGCTCTGTTAGGAAAATATGGAACAATAAGGTCTGTAATATAAGATGGAGCTAGGTTGTTGAGAGCTTTGTAGGTTAGAAGTAAGATTTTGATTCTGGATTTGACAGGGAACCAATGGAGAGAAACTAAAACTGGAGATATGTGATCTCTCCCAGTAACTCCAGTTAAGACTCTGGCAGCAGCATTTTGGATCAACTGAAGACGTTTTAAAGAAGTATTTGGACACCCAGATAATAAACCATTGTAATAGTCCAGTCTAGATGTGACAAATGCATGGACCAGTTGCATCAATAACACGTGAGATACACCCAGGTGGAGAGGTGGGCAACTATAGGTGCCCGGGGAGCAGTTAAGGATTGGATGTCTTGCTCAAGAACACCACATGTGGGGGGGTTGAACCTGTGACTTTCTGGTTCCAAGTTGGCTGCCCGACCTTTATACCACCTCGGCCCCTCACTAGGAATGAGACCATCAGAGGTACAGCACAGGTTGAACTGGGAGATAAAGTTAGAGAGGACATGGAGGTAGCTGGAGTGAGACAGAGGACACAGAGGACAGAGCGAGGACAGAGGACACAGAGGACAGAGCGAGGACAGAGGACACAGAGGACAGAGCGAGGACAGAGGACACAGAGGACAGAGTGAGACAGAGGAGGGGGTCACAGCATCGAGTGCTCCGGTGAGGCTCCACTTTCATCGCAGAACTTCCACAACTTTTCTGTTTCCTCTCAGCTCTTGGTGTTTGTTGAGCTTCCTGGTTCTTCTTGACGTAAAATCTTCTGGGATCTCCACATAAATAAAACTCTCCATCCATCTTCTACCTTTTATCTGCGGTCACGTTACGAAGACAACAGGATCCAAAGGTGGTCCAGGCCAAAGAAAATTAATTTAAAAATATTTCAAACAAAGAAGAATCTAAAAAGCAGAACTTTTTATTTTAACTCAGGCTCAAGAGTTGAACCGTGTTCAGCCTGTTGTGTGCAGGAGGGAACGACGGGACTCCTTCTGATGCAACAGATGCTCAGGTTCTCCTTCATTCATCCTCAGACAGAAACTCCTCCTCTGACGTCTTTGTCCTGGACCAGCTGCTCGTCCTGCCTGAGCTGCTGCTGCTGCTGCAGCAGCTCGTAAAGCTGTCGGCGTCTGCAGCAGCAGCTCAGATTTACAGCTGAGCGTCAGCGTCTGACCTGCTGCTGACACGAGGCCTCACCGCAGGTCAGAACAAGAGGAACATACGTTTAGGGCCGAGCAGACGGTGACCCCGAACTTCAGAGTGTGTTGATGAGGAGCAGAACCTTGCTGCAGGTCCGACTGTCAGCTGCTGTCTGAAACATTCTGCACTGATCTGCACAAAACTAAAATGTTGTTGTCTTTGGGGTCTGATCGTCTCAAAGACGCGTTCGTTTCTCTTGTTTTTACCCAAAGATCTAAAAATACTAAAATTCTTAGTTTCAGCAAAACTGTCTGAGCCCTGGTCCGATGACGCTGCTGCAGCTCTCAGGCAGGACCTTCAGGTACTTTTGTCCACCAGAAACACATTTTAACGTCTAACGCTTCTTTTGTTCTTCATTTATCCCTCGTTTATATTTTCAGGAGGTTCAGCAGAGATAACTGTAAAGGTCTGAAGCTGAACTGAAACTGAGCAGAAAGTCTGCCTGGTTGGGAGGAACGTGGAGAAAATGAGGAGTGGATTAAGACTTTTACACAAACCTGTGGAAGTTATCAGACCTGAATACTCATTTAGAATCAGAAATAAAATACTTGTGATTAAAACTTGCCGCAGTTTAACAAACTACAACAAACTAAATGAAGAATCAGAATAAAATTCAAACAGGAAGTTTACCTCAGACGTTTGATCCTCCTCGTCCACTCATCACTGTCTGCTTCAACTTTGAGGATCCACCAGAGTCCAGACCTGCAGCCTGTCCCTCAGACCTGCAGCCTGTCCCTCGGACCTGCAGCCTGTCCCTCAGACCTGCAGCCTGTCCCTCAGACCTGC